ACCATTAAGACCATCATCAGATGAAGTAAGTGATACAAGACGTAATCGAGATGTTGCATTATCATTAGTATTATTATCAAGAGATGTTTGAACACTAACATCACAACGTTTAACTGTTCGATGACAATCTGAACAAATAAATTGAGTCAAAGGAGAACGAAGAACACTATTCGATTTAAAGAGTGTTTCAGCAGCAAGTCGAAGACTATCATTAGTTGTTGCAATCGTTGACATAGTTTGTGTATTGTTGGATGGAGTAATAGTTGTTGTAGTAAGTAATGAATGTGGTGCAACAAATGTTGGTGGAAAAGTCGGTATTAAAACACTATGTTGTGATGGAATATATTGGTTTGCAGATGTCTGAAAAGTATTTTTGATTATCGAAAACAAGATTTTAACAATTCAACTGTAGAGAACCTATCCAGGATAGAGTTTTGAATATTTGCTTGCCAAATCAGTTCAAAGACAGACGTCTAAAACAATCTATATGAGCATACTGTCTAAGTTATTGATCTCATTGATGAAAAAAGCGAACACTATTTTCAATTAAGTTAAAGAAAAAAGTATTTCATAGCGGCAATAAGTGCCTGATAGATTTTAATTGATTACCATCTCTCGAGGTTTGCCTTTAACTAACAATAGAAAGTTGTATACTGTAAGTTAACGAGATTGATTATATTCGGATGAAATCAATGCTCTCACTATTAAACTAACTAATTTAAAATAAAAGCTGTCCATAGCGTGCAAGGACCAATATATTTAAATTTCAAGTTATTTAAGCTTATGTCATGTGTTCACACTTTAAAATTGCTGCATTATATTTATTTCACTGTTTTAGTCATAGTTCGATAGAACTTGCCGAGTTACATAAAAAAAACAATATCACAGATATTCAAAAGCAATTTTATGAATAAGTTCAAGATACCATTATTGTTAAATATGAGCAAAACAATGCCACTCATATCAAAGCGAAATTCTGACTGTCGTAAAATTTGCTTTTGAATATCTTTGATAGTGATTATTTTCATTATTTAACTCGCCAAGTTCAATCCAACCATGATGAATCGCGGCTCGTGTATGCTAGGAAGCTGCAAGTCCACAAAAACATCAATCCACAGTTCTCTACATTGACTGCATAGAACATAAATGTGGATTGCTTCTGTAATAATCCTTGCAAAAATATTTATACATTAGATGAATATTTAAGAAGCATTTTGGATCAGAATATCCGTATGAAGTGACACAATTTGCATGAAAAATTTATGTTTCTGATTATTTCTAACTTTGCTAAATTGACTAAACTGGAATCTACTACTAGTTTAAAGCTAAATACTAAATGACAATTTTGAATTTACCTACTCAGTAAAACCAGTGACTATTATTTTCGTTTGAATTATTTTATCCGAAATTTTCTGCGAAACAATTTTTGTGAGTAATAGTTAATTCTCTTTAGGATAATAAATGAAGTACTTTTTAAAAGTTCATCATACCGATTCAAATCTATTTTTTATTTGTTCTTGCATTTGTCCTGATGTTGTTGACATAAAATCATTTGGATATCGATGTAAAAGTCTAACAGCTAAATTACAATCATCTTTATATCGTTGTTTTTCATTTTGTAATTCCTCAATTGTTTCTTTTAAACATAAAATTTCTTGTTTAGCATCAAATAATGATTGTTCTAAATGATTTTTTTCATTTGAATATGTTTCAACAATTGATAAAACTCGTTCTTCTAATAAACTATTTTGCATTTGTAATTGTCCATGTACATCAACGAATTTTAAATAACGTTCACGCATTAATTCAAGTTCATTTGTAAGTAAATTAATTTTTTCAGTATTATTCATCTTTGAATAAATAAGAATGTTTATTTTATTTTATTTTTTTGTTCTATTAAATCTACTATATATTCATTGTTTTTATTCATGATCTGTCTGTAATCGATTGACAAAAAAAAAAAATTATTTTTTTTTTTCATTTAACAAAAAAAGAATTCTTCGTGAGCAAATCGTTCGATTGTTCAAAAACAAACAAAACGCCAAAAAATATAATAATAAACTTATCTGACTCTTCGATGTTACATAAGAGAACCAAAAGATTGTTATAAATAAAATATTCTTGAAAGATCTTTTACATGATGTCAAATACAAAAAAAACAAAAAAAAGAAAAGATATATTTGTATCGAGATGGAGATTAATATCTTTGAAATATATATAAAAAAAAAGAAAAGAAACGATAGATAGAGAAAACAAACGAGCTCGATCGTATGCTGGTATCTGACGAGCATGTTCTTATAAAATACTATTTAATTAAAACAAAAAACAAATTAGTTACAGACAGAAAAGCTCACCAGGATGAAATAGGTTTTTATTTTATTATTGTTTTTTTTTTCTTCAAAACTTGTTTCTTATTATTATTATTATCACGAATCTGGATGTTCTAGTTTGACAAAAAAAAAAATCACAAACTATTTGCGCAAGCGCGGATGACATTAGTTCATTGTAATAACCAAACAATTTAATGTACAACAGCAGCAAATAATATTTACATAATTATATACAAAATAAATACCGACAGATAATTCAGAAATATGAAAAAAAAAATATTCGCTTGTTTTTTTAGATGGATGATTGAAAAATATTATGTATCTGTTCGATAAATGAAAGTTCAAGTGGAACGGTATATTCATACACACCTATTGGTAGTTCATGTTTACTTAATGGATGCCATGGCCAGCCAAGGACTTGTCCTATCTATAATAAAGAACAGCATACATTATGTTAGTATGTATAAAGAAAAAACAAGCACGTCGAGAAACGCATAAATGATCAATATACAGGATGGCCTAAAAAATCACTAGACAGTTTTTACCGTTGGACAGAGGAGGCTTTTGAAATTTCCACAGCACTTTAATTTCTGAGTACATCAGTTTGTTTAATCTTAGTTTTTCAAAAAATCTTCTAAAAAGTTATGAATATTTTGTTTCTTATATGGTTTGATGCTCGCAAGTCTCCTATTTTTACTCATGAAAACTGCACCTCTGTTTTTTTACCAAAAGTTATACGTAGTCAAAAGATCTGATATTTCAAAGTCGAATAATAGAATGCAATAAGATTTCCATGTTTGAAATCTGATATGTTCTCAAAAATGAATCTATTGTTTTTTCCTTATTAATACGAAACAGATACTGATCATGAATTGCGCAAAAGCTTAGAAAGAAATATATATACAGTACTGGTAAAAAATATAAGAACATTGCTTTTTTCTATGATATCAAGTATTTATCTCAAATCCAAATAGTAGTTTGAATAGTCAATGAAGTTCTCTATCCATACCGAAATTTCATAGTTGGATTGTGCGAGGAAGATTTCTAGAAAATCAAAGCCGATAGTTTTCAGGTCTCAGAAATCTTTGCTGTAGCTATTTTTTTAACAATGTTATTTTAAAGAGCACAAAATTCTGAATAAAATGAAGGATTGCCGCATATTCTACGACTTTTTCTTAAAAAAATTATAAGCAACATAAAAATAAAAAAACTACGTTTTTCAGCATGCGGCAACCATTCATTTTATTCAAAATTTTATGCTCATTAAAATGACATTGTTAAAAAATAGCTCCAGCAAAGATTTCTAGGATCTGAAAACTATAGGCTCTGGTTTTTTGGACACCTTCATTAGCTATTCAAATTATTATTTGGATTCAAGATAAATACTTGATATCATAGAAAAAAAAACGTTCTTACATTTTTGACTAGTACTATACATATACGAATACCTATATCAAATTTGTTTAAAGGTTTCTATTAGAGATGTTTCTTGAATAGAATAAAATTCTGTTTATTTCCCATTTCAACTTACAATTGTTTGAATACTATTTGTACAGATTCCATATTGTATAAACGCATCATTTCCATCGTCATCTTCAACAAATTGATGATTCATTTGTAAATGTCCATATTGTAATGTCATAACACAACCAGCACATACATTTAATCGACGTAATTGTGGACGTAATTTAGCAATAGCAAGTAAATTAACTTCTAATACTTCGTATCCTAAAAAAAGGGAAAAAAATTATTATTATTTTTTTATTGAAATTTTAATTAGATGCAAAAAAAAAGAACGAGATAATTACCAAGAATTGTAAGTGATGTAAGTTTTTTACATTGCCAAGCCAATAAAACAAGTGGATCTGGTTCAGCACGAAATAAATTATGATAACGAAGTGCTGGTTCAGTTACACTATCAATTACATCAAGACATTCTAATGTTGAACGATAATGAACAGATAAATAACATAATAAATCAACATTAAGTGATGAACAAAAATACATTCTATAAATATTAAATATTCGAAAAAGAAAAAGAAAATTTTTTTAAATCAATAGAACATACCTTAAATGTGATAATGGCATACCCGGACGAAGTACACGAGAATATTTTCGAAATGTTTCATGTGCATTTAACATATGAACAGTAACTCGTAAATTAGGCATAATACTAGCAATTGAATACCAAACTAAGTCATCGATAGGTTGTGTATCCGAACGAAATTCACTAACATGTACAATTAATCTAAGAATTATAAATAAAAACAAAAATAGTTTTTATTTTTGGAAAAAAATTAAAAAATTTTATATACCGTTTTAATGGTGCCAATTGTTGTGCAAAACATTGTAATAGTTCATCTGTAAGATAAGTTGAATCAATACTTAATGTATTTAATGATGTAAATGGAAGAAATGATTGACTTGGTAAATATATATCTAAATAATCAATATTTATTGTTTTTATTTTCGTATTTATAAAACTTTTTAAACTCGATTAGAATCAAATTGGAGAAACTTAATAAGAAAATCATTAATGAATACTGCTGTGAATTGTTCATATTCACTACAATATGGTCGTGTAACATTTTATATTAATATAAAATAATATAAGCAAATCAGTAATAAAAAGAGGAGAACTTCGAACATCTTTTTGTCGGATACTATATAAGATAAAATTGCTTTAAAACCCATCATCTTTGCAAAGCATGAAAATAGTGTTTTGTTTCAATATAATTTTGATTTTGACATATGCTTCGGATCTATAGTTCAAGGTACAATTCAGATGATGATTATCTTATCACATCTCAATGTTAAACAAACAAAATCGCGTAGGTATGTGGTCAATTTCTATAGAATTCTGTTGATTTTTAGTAAATTTTCTTGAAACAGAATATCGTTTTCATGTATGTTTTTCAATTGTTTGTGAAGATGATGGAGTTTTGAAACAATTCTATCTCATATAGTATCAGACAAAAAGACGTCTGGAGTTCTTTTCTTTTGATTACTGAAAACCACAAGTCGTTGGCTGCTGTTGGTGTCCACATATTAGGCTTATACTGACCTCTCTTTAGTTCTGGCGCAAACATTAGATATGAATCTTTTATTTTGTGACACTCACGCCCCGAAAGACCATGACAGTACGTTGATACTAATAGACGTCACATTAACTTTTTTCGTTTCTATCCGACGTTAAATCATATAAATATGCATGATATGTTCTGTATTTTTTTCTTCTGAACTCGTGACAAGTCAGAATAGGTATTGAAGTGAATGTCAACAACGGGAAAGAATGCTTATTAATGATTTTGTTATGAGATAAAAAAATCTTTGTACGCTATTCCATCAATGATTAAAAAAATCAGCCCGATATTATCAAGTAAAGATATTTATAGCTCATCCTGTCTAATCGAAAACGAGATTGGCCTTTTTCAAGATTTTTGTTATTTGTTTTTGTACATGCTCGAGTAGAATGTTATTCTTTCGGAAAGAGTGAACAAGTCTATTTGACTTAACTTACCAGCTATTGAATGTGTTTCACTACTTTTAATTGATGCTAAATGAAGTTGTTTAATTGAATGAGATTGTTTTTGTGCTAAAACATGAACTAATTCTTCAATACGAAATAAACTTTCAAACCAACAACCAAATGAAATAATTTCTATAGCTTGATTTGATTGAATAATTTGTTCAAGTAAATGAAAAATTCTACAAAAACAAATTGTGTTTTTTAAATTAAAAATTTGTTTTTCTTTTTATTATTTACTTACTTATCACAAAGTGGTATAAATGGTTGTTCATTTTCTGCTAATGCACAATGTGTACTTGTTGGACGAAATATTAATATTTTAATTTGTCGATTTGTACATGTTAATATATCAAGAAATTGTAAAATATCTTTTAGTATATTTATATCTGTTGGATCAAAACGTATTTCAATATAACGTGTTTTACTAAGAAAATTTGTTGTTAAATAACGAAAACATTGTATATCATTATGACGATCAATAAGACTTAAACGAAGACAACGATATGGAATAGATGACCATAATTTTGGATGATATAATACATTACGCCATGATAAACATGTTGATGTTGCTAATAAAAGTTCATTATGTTTTAAATAAGAAAATATTTCAGCAAGAACTATTTGTGGTAACTCAGAATAATCATATGAAAATACCATAATCAATATTTGAATGTAGAGAAATAATAAAAAAAATAATGAAAATAATTTATCAATGCTAATTTTTATATTAAGCAAGATAAACTGTTTTTAATGAGTCATTGGGAAAAATAAAGAAAAAAGACAACAAGAAGAGGAAAAATGAGATTACGACCTTGATAGGGTAGATCAGCTGAGTGCAATAACAAACGACAATAGATGTCACTTATTGATGGTAGAAATATCTCATTGGTGCATTTATTCTTCTATAATAATATTACAATTACTAAGGTAAAGTTTTCACATATTATGCTGTTAATAGACCTTCACACACCTCACACGTTCTATTTACTAACTATTTTGATTATACATTAATTGATTGGATTTCAAAATGCAAAACATTGTATGTGAATGAGGATGTGTGTATGTATCCTGTAGAAGTATCTATTGAAAATATTTATAAAATATCAAGGTTGAATGCATCGTTGTTCTTTAGAGATTCCTCAGGTAGTAAGAACGTTGCCTTGCTGTGCGTGAAAAGAAAAGTATTATGACAAATAATCTTATGCTATTTTTCAAGCATTCATATTAAACAAGTGTAGTTGTAAACAACTATAATTGAAGAGATACGACATTTTATATGGCTCATGAGGGAAATTCTTCAACTGATTAGTGACTGTTGAGTCGAGACTATGTGCTTCATGTGGATCCAAATGAGTTATAAATATTCTAAAAAAAGTTTGGGTCCTTAGCTTATTGCTATCGAGATACTGTATTTTTACAGTATCTTTTTAGAAAATGCCGTAGTCCCCGCCAGGAATACTAGGAAAACTCATTTTCAAATTTTGACTTGAAATTTCTCGTAGAGACTCCGTTCATCGAGAATAGTTTATTGTGAAAGTTTCAGATATTTTCGTTGTTTCTATCATAAGATATATCTATGATAAAAGTTTGTCTGGTACACTGCTCATATACGCTAGCAGATTTGATGCTATTATTTCAAGATAAGAGTAAATCAAAAGACTGAAAACCTTCACAATAAACTATACTGGTTAAGATTTGTCACTATGTAAAGTTTTAAGTTGAAATTCGAAAACAAGTTTCATTAGCGTTCCTGAGGGATATCACCATATTGAATTAAAAAAGTACCATAAAAATACAGTATCTCAGCAATAATAAACTAAGGACTCGAACTTTCTTACGTGTATTCATAGCGCATTAGAGTCTACATGATGCGCATAGTTTGGACTTCAAAACGATTAAACAGTTGGGAGGACTTCCTTCATCAATAATACAATTACATATCGTCATATTGTATAAAGAAATGACAACAGGCTTTTCTTCTAGAATGGATTCAGCGCAACGAAGAGTCTTATGACTGGAAGAAAACGAAAAAAGTATTTTTTTTGTCTTGCTTCTTCTTCCGAAGAAAATAAGCGAAAACTTCTGTTGGACTTCGACAGGAATATGAAGAAGTGTGTTGTAATTATTTAAAGTGGATAGCTGCTTGATTGCTCAAGCTTGAAATCAAGAGAATTTTTTCATAAATACAAATGTGAGAGGAATCTGAATTCCTTTTCATCAAAAATAACAGTTGTATAAACATAGTCGTTTCAATAATTTGTATTTCTCAACTCTATCGGTTAGTATCATCTTTTAACTTTCTGAAAAATGTTGCTAAGTTTAAAAATAAAAGCAGTTTATAACAGAAATAATTGGAAGATGATGTTGAATATATTTTTGAAATACGGAATCTAATTAAATTTTGTGAAATATTTCGTAAGTTTTATCTAAATTTATGAAATGTTAGTAACTACAAAATTTTCAAGTACTGGATCGCGGAAAAATAACCAATATTTAACTTTAGCGAAGGAAAACAACGATTTTACACTTCAGTCTTTCCTATCTTGAAATGTTTCTAACAATACGTATTTTTCTAAAATACTAAGACTATAGTAAATAACTTTTTTTATGTAAGAAATACTCAATTGACATTCAATTATCACATATATAGTTAAAGCATTTGCATATTTTTCATCGTAGTTGATCGTTCGACAATATCAAATATTAGTTTTATTTTGTTTTTCTTATGAAAGAAAATTAAATGTAAAACACGAGGTAAAATTATATTACTATTATTATGATTACCGTAAAGAGTGTTAAGCATATCATTGGCTCAATGTTTATTTTAAACAAACGTTCCTTTAAAAGAAAGATCAAATAAGTACGAAAACTGTCAATAATATAAAAAACTTTTCAGAATGAATTCAATTAGGTTGCGACTGAACTGAGCCATCTCCTGATGTCGTCTTTAGTTGTATAAATATGATGATTAAATGAGACAAAACGTTTGTTTACTGTGTTCATTCATAGTCTTCGTTTGACAACTAGCACATTCATATGTATTTTAAATTATTCTGTCACATAAACAACAATTAATTTTGATTGATAGATACTATTGGCATGTCTTACTAACTATTTCTAACATGCATCTACCAGGGGCAAAGTTTGATTTAATGTTATGTGTATAAAGCATCGAAATCAAACTAGTAGAGATTCATACGAGTTTTACATCGGCGTCTCGGATTAATAATCATCTTCGTATAATCTCCGGAATGAAAGAATATGAAGCATTGAAGAAGAAAAAAACATCTAATGATTGTATCACATAATTTCCTTTTTGTTTATTCATTGAATAGTAAACTAGAGAAATCCTATGGGGAAATAAATCAATCTTGATAGAAAATCGATGTTTCCCTATGAATTAAACGACTTCTGCTTGTATTTGAATATATTTCAATAGAAACAACATATAGTTCATGATTTACATTACTGAAAAAAAAATCAAGCAGGAAATAATGATCTTTGTATAAATCAATAGGACATATGTTAAAAGAATTTTTTTACATAAATTTAAAAAAGAAAACTGTTAGATGTTTGGCGCGATTATACTTAAAGATTAAAAGTAAATACCAAGTTGAATATCTTTAAAATAGGTTCAAGTATTTGTGCTCAACAGTGAATGAACTGAAAATCTACTAAGAGAATTTTTATTTATTTACTTATTAATTTTTTCTTTTTGTCTTATGTTTATTGAACTTTTTGATCTTGACCCTATATCAAAAGATAAGGGTAATAAATTTAAATATCTTATGAATAGTTTAGTTCATTTATTCATGTACTAATAGACTTCTCTAACACGAAAGAAATTATATTTTGATAAACTCTTTTATTATTTATATGAATCGAATAAAAAATGAATCATTTTTTTGAAATTATTGTTTTCAAAATGCATTCTTTTTTTTCAAACTATTTTGGTCTTGTTCTAGCCAATGCTTATAAATCGATTCTTGATTCTCGATAGAATATCGACAATTATCAAAATTGGGTCCTTATGTTTAGATAGCAACGAGACATTTGATTTTCTTATTTTGTATAGAAAGGAAAAAATACATCTACTTTTATCTATAATCCATACTAGAGATATATGGAACCACGAGAAAAAACATTGCCGGGGGGCTGGAACTACAGAAAAATAGTTCTTCCAACCAGCAGCACTAAAGATTATAGTTAAATATCCTTTGGTTTTAAGCCAAGTATCTTCTAAATCATATCAATCAGCTGGAATAGTTTTCTCTAGACCAGAAGCAAAAAAAACTTGGTTCCGCACATCTCTCTTCAATTCAGACGGTAATTCTGTATAAAATCTTCGAAGATTTATTAATACATTTTTTTTCTCAAATATAATACATAAGTTTATGTAGTCCAAGCAACCAATTATAATTAAATTTATTAGTTATTTTCTCGAAAGTTTATCCATACATATTTTTTTTTGTATGTATCAAACATCAGTTCATTCTTGTATAAAAAAGTGAGTAAAAAATTGGTATTATCTATATTTTCCTTGCGTTCTATGCATCTTCATCAACAAAACAAATTTTCTCGTCGTTGTCTCGAGTCTTAGTTGCTTACATCAGTAAACACAGCAAGAGGAAAAAAAAGTCTCCTGGAAAAATTCTTCTCTATTTGCTTGCTTGCTTCGCCTATTTCCATCGATGGTTGAGTTAAAGTAAAGCAAGGCAAAAAAATAATACATATTTATTCTTCTTTTAGATTTCGTTGTACCGTTAATCCACCGTCGGATATTAACAACAGTGGAAAAGCTTCTAAAAAATTTAGTGAAAATTTATTTATCTATTCATCAAAGTAAGATATTATAATTTAAAAGCAATGTTTTCTTTCTTTTTTTGTTTTAAAACATAATTTTAGTATGCCTCAATATTTATCTGCTGATAAAGAAAAAGAATTAATTGAAACAGCTACCACACTTATAGCAAAAGGCAAAGGTGTATTAGCTGCTGATGAATCTACAGGTAGACTAAAACGAAAATATTCTATTTAACAAAATGTTTATTAGCTTCAATGTTAAAACATTTTCAACCACTTGGTCTTGAAAATAATGAAGAAAATCGTCGTCTTTATCGTCAAATTTTATTTACTGGCTCAAAAGAATTATCAAATTATATATCTGGTGTTATTTTTTTTCATGAAACATTTTATCAATATGATAATAATGGAAAATCATTTCGTGAAATATTAAAAGACAAAGGTATTATACCTGGTATTAAAGTTGATAAAGGTCTTGTACCATTAGCGGGTACAAATGGAGAAAATACAACACAAGGTCTTGATAATCTTAGTGAAAGATGTGCACAATATTATCGAGATGGTGCACGTTTTGCTAAATGGCGTATGTATTCAAATTGTTTATGAATCTAAAAGTTTTGGTTGTTTATTTAGGATGTGCATTAAAAATTGGTGATGGTTTACCATCTGAATTATGTATTCGTGAAACATCAAATGTTTTAGCACGTTATGCATCTATTTGTCAACAAGTACGAACAAGGAAACATATTCAATTGTCATCACTAGGAAACAAGAAAAGCCGATACCGAGCAAAACCTTAAAAAATCCGAAAGACAATTAGCCTGTGAGGCGGATAGTTTCATTTAAAAGAAATC